GTGCCCGGATATGGATATGTTTGGGATATCTGCCACCTGCAATAACCATCTTTATAGTGTAATAAGTGCGAATACCTGGTTAATTTGTTTGTTACAAATGGGATACGGCTATTTAACGTGAATTCGAAACTAACAGTGAGTTGAATGACAATTATTTGAATAATTTATGGATAGAGATATTTTTAATAAATTCAGATAATCCGATTGAACAGGTGACAACAAAAGGGAAAAACGGATTCCACCACTTTATAGACGTAGTTCCTTGTCACGGTAACTTTTCGACCGTTAAATGAATGGAGTGTTTGCATGCTAGAAGAGGATATGTAGGCTTCTTTTATCAGCATCAATTAAGTAACATTCGGTCCGGATGCATTTAAGCTATCAAAATGAAAAACAGTGGTCCTAACAAGCAAAGATTAATATCATCCAAGTTTTCTTAAGAGGTTTTATTTCTACTTGTTTTAGTTCTGTATCATAGCTACGTGTATTTTTGGAGCCATCCATGTTTGAGACAATAATTCATTCCCACAGTAAATTATTTGTAAGCTACATCAGTCGCTATTTAAAAATCTTAGTCTTAAAATGACGAAGTCCCATATTATGTCTGTGTTCACTAAACTAGGGAAAACAACACGTAGGAAACTAAGGAGCTGAACACCTAGAGTCACGACTGATACGTTGTAATCAAGATTTTCTTTTGAACAAGATTGAATCGATATCTCTACCTCTCATCTTTATGATTAGTTTAGTTTTTTCACGAGTAAAATCACCGTCCCTACAAAATATCACTGCTATGTTGAGTCTTATTCTTTACTTGGGAGTTCATGTATTGATTCCTCTAAACTGAAGAGCTTGACAGGTTGTTCGAAGGACGTGTTGAGGAATAAAGTCCTAGATTACAAGAATATCCCAATGACAGGTTCCCTTCAGTAATTATCCATTGATAATATGCTAGTTCAATTGTCCGATCATTTCAAACACTTGGAAATCACAGTGCTTGGGTGAGTAAACCACACTCGAGGGCTGCTTAGCGCGAATGATTGTTTTGTTAGTATAGAATAGAGACATTCCTCATTACAATGATTATATCATGCGTACAACATTTTGTATAGACACGAAACTTTAAGGCGCACAGTTTAGTTACCTTGCCAACTAAACCACTCACACACAGGCTGCCATCAAATAGAATTGACAGTTTCCCCCCACAAGATTATATTCATATATCTTTGAAAGAAAGTACAACTATGTATGTACGTCACATTTAACTTAAACGTGATTACTTATTCCTAATTCATACATTCATTTAAAACTCAAACTCAACACATGCACGTGACCTGACAAATATGATGGTTTATGTCATCCATAATTCCATTTTGAAAAAAGTTATGATAAGATATACAACGAATAAAATGGGTAAACAAAAAATGGTGCCATAGAGAAATACGAATTTCATTAATCGTGCATACTATAATCAATAATGGTGATTTTTTCTGTGAGTGAACAAGATTAGTTAAATGTAACGTCAACTAAATGTGGAGAAAATGGAAACTAATCTCATCTTGTTCAAATTATTGAAACTATAAATTTGCACTTATTTCGCAAATACATAAACATAAATAAGTAGACATTAATATATACTTTGAAAACGATTTTATCTATGTGGTAAAATAATATGAAAAACTAACAATTTCGAAAAGAGATCGACAGTGAACTCAGCGCCTCGAATTAATCTGATAAAATATTGTTACTGTGAAGAAAATGAACAATTTAGATCAGTGAAGCCATGATATCTACCTTTATTCCACAGCGATTTACATGGAGATATCCCGTTAATAGAATGAATTGTCTGCAGACAATATATTGTAAAATAGAAGTGGCAATAGTGAAATTCCGCTAATAAACCTTTGAGAAACATACATAGACATAAAGGCATCGGCAAATAATGAATGTTACTATAAGGCGAACAAGTTTGATCAATGCAAAAAACCCACATTTGCATACATACGCCACTTCTGGTGATAAAACCAAAAGTAAATGATTTCTTGATTAAAATTATTATTGCATAAAAACATTCAATAACAAACGTGCATAAATAAAATAAAGGGTATCACAGTTGATAATCTTAAAAAAAGCATAGCACGTGCTGAGGAATGCATTTTAAAAAATCTGGAAAGCAAAAAAGTTTTTTTGAAAGTAGTAACACCATCTCTGAATAAATAGTTTGAATACATAAATATATGAAGTTAAGCATGGATCAGAATATACACACGTAACAAAAGGGCATGAATAAGTATCCACAAAATATTAAATAATATTTCAACGACTTTTTAAAAAAAAATAAAGAATATCAGATACACCTGGAAAAATCTACGATTAGAAACGTCAAAACACGTTTAACAAGAAAAATTTCCCAAAAGAGCCAGATATCTGCTGGACCAATAAAAAAATATATTCAAGTATCCAAATCCTCAGGATATGTAGTCTAAAAAAAAATTCGACGGTTAATAACGATCAATAATATTTAAACGAAAAAAATAAGTATATATACAGTTTGTAAATTTTAATTTTTTTACTATATATTGGGATTACTGTACTGCAAATCAAATTTACGGAAAATTCTGAATCTCCAACCCTTAAGGACTAGATTATTTGATACTTCTAATAATGTCAACTGAAACAGTTAGAATGACAAAAAACTGCATCTGTTTTGGTGAGTTTGATTTGAACACACAAAAATATACGGCGGTAAAGACGTGAGTCTAATTATCCAGAATTCAGTAATCCGTGAAATAATATTTCAAAGAACAATAGCCAATACCTATTTGAGTAAAGCTAAAACCACAATTGAGGCAGAATAAGTTGAATACTTTTTATTTTGTGGTTTCTCTTCAACTGCTTAAATCCGTATTCGTAACATAACACAGAGATATGATATAAAATAGTGTGTAATAATACCTAATCTCAACTGAATTATATTTATTTATTTAAACACATACATATTGGTACAAAGGGCACCAGATACATATGCGCCTCACAAAATAATGAGAATGGGAGGAGAAAGCGGGAAGATGCGTATATATAAAGGATGAAAAAAAGAGAAGAGTAATGATGAAGGAGACAATAATGAACAAACACAGCCGTCTAACGTCCTCAATCAGGAAAGACCAGGTTTCACAAGCAGAGAGCAAAACTGGTCTCACTGACGGGTTGTAGGTCCGATATTTACAGCCAGACTAATATCACGAAGACACCAAAGATGGCCCAGATTGATGTAAACCGCTCTGGATTCATTATACGTGAACCGATCTCATCACTCACGCCACCACCAGCACTTGTGCAGCTACCTAGATATACGAACTTCTCGACTACTGCAATCTGCTCACCACCCAGGGTGAGTACAGGATTAGAATCCTACCAGTCTTGTAGAAGTACTTTGCACTTCGAAAGTGCAAATCACATACCGTACCTATGGACACATATTGCCAACTGATTAGGTGCGGATTGCATGGCTTGGGCATTGTCACAGAGTAAGACAATATTATCCGCTTACTCAAGGTCGAGAAGTCTTTCTCCAGGCAGCAAATCCATACCATGATTACATCAGAGCTGTTTCCAGAATGTCGTCAATAGCAAAGTTGAAGAGGAATGGTGAGATTAGGTAACTCCGCCTAACCTCACTGCTTAAATGGAACAGTGGGGAGAGGTGGTTGTATGCCCTCACTCTGCCTGAGGTGTTTGTATATAGGGCCTTTAAGATGTTAGTAAACTTCCCAGGCACACCCTTCTTCAATAGACAATCCCAGAGAACATTCCTGTCTAACGAACTAGAAGGCTTTAAAATCAAGAAACACTACGATTGTTGGCCTGTGATGAGTATGACGGTGTTCTAACATTTGGCGGAGAGTGAAGATATGATAATACATCCCCAACCAGAACGAAAACCAGCCTGCTCCTCGCGAGTCAATCGTTTTCGGGTTTTGAACAACGTTTGAAGTATGACGGAAGCCAATAGTTTGGACGCAATTGGAAGTAGACTTATCCCCCGATAGTTGTTACAGGAACAACGTGAACCCTTTTTGAAGATAGGGACGACTATCGACTCGTTCCATGATGTTGCAACACTTTCTGGCTCCCAAACCTTTGCAACCAACACAGTCAGTTCCTTAGCCACCATCTTTAAAAAGAGCCAGAACTAAGTCATCTGAGCCCGGTGATTTGTAGCGTTTCAAGTGTTGGAGTTCCTTGCGGACTTCCGCCTCGTTTGGTGGATCAGTCGTCACCGGTCATGAGGGGCATGACAAACTGGTCGATGTTGCCGGAGCAGCAGGCCAGTTGTACTGCCCTTTGAAGAATTATAACAGTAGCAGCAATGAAATTTAAAAAAGACGTTTAAATATTTTGATTCATTTACCAAGTACACATTTATGAATTCAGTTTTGAGCCATCCTGTGATGTGAACCCGCTTCCCTGAGGTACGTGGATTATGCTTTAACAGCTTACAAATTTTAATTCATATGATATTTTAACCTATTTAACATTGTTAAATGTCATAAAATGATATGACAATATAAATGATCGATGGATAAATATTTAGATATATGGGCCTAACAATTAAGAGAAAAACGAACTAGTTAATTCCATTAAACTTTCTTAAACTAAAACATTGATTTTAATCAGAATAAATTACAGCATTCGTAAAATGTGACTTACCTAATAAGAATTTTGGAATGCTATTAATAATAATCACCTGATCCGATTCCCTTTCTTATCAGAAATAGAAAGAGACAAATTAACGAGTGTACGATATGGATTCACTGAGATATTTAGACGACAGAAAAGCAGTATTGGTCAACTGGCAAGATATTAATGGGTTTGATAATAAACGGTGTCTCTGTTATTTACATCTTGATACGTAGTTACATTTGGAACCAAATATCTTGAGAAAATAACTAGTTACGGTTGCTAATTGAAAGAACTGAGATGCTCCTTAGATGGAAATTTCACGAAGTGTCATGTTTTCAACACTAAGTTGTCAAAATAAAATATAAAAATCCTTTCTGAACATAAATTCACAAACATTGTATGATCATTAAGAAACAGCCAAAATATGTTAAAACGTTGATCCAAAAGACCATAAATACTACATGTATTCAGAACTGTACCGCCCTCCGGATAACAGGTAATACGACAATTAATGCGTGTTAAAATCTACTTACTTACGCTTGTTACCCCCAATGGAGCATAGGCCGCCGACCAGCATTCTCCAACCCACTCTGTCATGGGCCTTCCTTTCTAGTTCTATCCAGTTGTTTCTTTTTCTGATATCTGTTTCCGATTCTCGGCGTAACGTGTTCTTTGATTTTTCTCTTCTCCTTTGACCTTGAGGATTCCAAGTGAAGGCTTGCCTTGTGACGTAGTTATATGCTTTCCTTACTGTGTCCTATCCATTTCCAGTGCTTCTTCCTGATCTCTCCCTCCACTAAAGTCAGGTTTGTTCTTTTTCACAGTAGGTTGTTGCTAATAGTGTCTGGCAAACGGTTTCGAGGTATTTTGTGCAGACAACTGTTAATAAACACCTGTATCTTCTGGATGATGGCCCCATACAATAGAACTGTCTTTATATTTGTATTGGTGTTGGTTGATAGTTGTTTTGAGTTCCAGATGTTCTTCAATTGTAAATATGTTGCTCTTGCTTTGATGATCCGCGCCTTCACATTCGCATTAGATCCACCGTGTTCATCAATGTTGCTGTCCAGATATGTAGAGGTTTTTACATCATCCAAACCCTCTCCGTCATGTGTGATTCGACTGATGCATGTTGTGTTGTGTCGGAGAGCCTTGCTTTTCCCTTCGTGTATGTTGAGACCTACTGCTGCTACACTGGTCGTCTTCTCTTGTATTTGCTGTTGTGCGTGTGATAGAAGAGCCAGATCGTCTGGGAAGTTTAGGTCATCCAGCTGCATCCTAGTTATCCATTGTATCCCATGCTGCCCCCAGATGTTGATGCCTCCATAATCCAGTCGATCACCAGGAGAAAGAAAAAGGGTGAGAGTAAGCAAACTTGCCTGACATCGGTCTTTACTTCGAACGAGTCAGTGAGTTGTCCTCCATGCACGATTTTGCAGTTAAGTTGTTTTGAAATATAAGCGTCAAAATGTGACGAAAACACAGTATTGAATTAGTTATATTATACAATACAAGAACAATCAAGTATATGTTTTCCCGCATTATCTATGTGTTTAAAAAATAAATACAATAAAACGGTGATAAAAATTCAGGAAGACAGAATTTTAGATGTGAACGAGGATAACAAACATTAACATCATAAAAAAGTGAATGGTCGGTTGTATTTGTCATACAATTAATTAATAGTTCTTAAAAGTTAGGATGGTCCGTAATAACATTCATTCTTTACATCCATCCTCAAAAATAACTGTTAACTGATACAGCTGACTGCTCAAAGCTGTTATTAGCTAGTTTTCTCAAAAAAGGCTGCTACGATTGAAAATTATATTATTCAGAACCAATTGAGCATGTATGATCATGTAATAAAAACATCCGTGGTTTACCAATGAGTATGAAATTGAATTCCTGACACTTCGTGTCTTAGTGTAGGGGGTGACGCGATCAGAGAAACAAGGAGTCTTGACAAACTACGGAAGCTATTTTCGGGGACGTTAATTCATTTGATTCACAGCTTGTAAAATGGTAACATTTATTTTTTGTCCGTAGTTTATTCTGCAGACCATAAGCTTTAGTTTGATGTATGATTCATTGCCATAGACTTTTCTGTTACAAAGCTATTGTAATTTGAATGTAATCTTTTGCACTCTATTTCCTATCCTAATACCCAGTTTTAGATGTAACTGTATTTTCCAAATTGTGAGTCTACCAGAGAAGTTATTGGTCTTAACGGGATGTTGGATTTGTGTACATTACGGAGATCATATATAAAGCAATCTTGATCATTTTGCTTGCAGATTGTTGTTGGTTGATTTATCGACGAGTCTCTTTTTCAAAAGTTCTTTAGGTTGTTTATTAACTCTGTTACCGATCGTTTCCATGACATGTTTACTAAATATGATAACTTGGAGTTTTGATGTGTCGTTCAAAATTTGAGACATTTTATGCGCATAATCTTTTTGACTCGTCGTTACAATACCTGAAGCTCAATTTCGTCTTATTGTAATGATCATTTTCTTATAAATTATTTAATGCCAGCATATGCTCCTTCGTCAATATATATATATATATATATATATATATATATATATATATATATATATATATGTAACGACGACCATGAGTGACACTAACAACTAAAATTACCAAGGTAAAATATCTGCTTTAGGATGTGAGTATAATTTATGGAATACAAACTATGAAAACCAGAATATACGTGCACTAACAATACGAATTCATTCCACTTGATGATTATCCCACCATTTAATGCGATAAATTTATCAGAAATACTCTAATTAACACAAAACCTATGAAATATTATACCTTATGAAACGGAGATTTAAAGGTTTGCAAAAGTTTCTCCTCGTTCAACTCCCAGAATGGTAACAAAATTATGAGCGAATTGCCTTCAGTAAGCAACTGGATCATAACAATGAAGAATAAGGAGCACAAACGTATTTGCCGAAAAAAAAATATATAAACCTCTAAAGGCTAAATGCTTCTGCCTTCGTGCTGTAATTTATTTACTCAATTAAACTTCAAGAACCTCATATAAAGCATTAGGCAAATAATAATGCATATCAGAACAGGATATGGGGAAGATAATGTATGATTAAACACAAAATAGAGTAGAATGGAATGTACAAGAATAAAAGAAGCGCATCTGATATTTGTATGATAACAGCAATGGTGAATGAGTAAAATTAGACAATGAAAGGTCATAAACTCAAGGAAATGGAAATTCAGAGGACTGAGTTCTATAGCTACATCAAGTGTGATGAAACTTTTAGTCATGATCAAAGACTCAGTCATCAAAATTTTTCAGGTTCAAATTTCTGTAATTACAATCCATGATGCTGAGATTAAAGATTATCTAAGTAAGAAGCTTATCCACTTTAAAATTATAAGACAGTTACATCCCAAAAATAATATTTAATGTGGGATCTTAACCAACTCTTTCGAAGTCAACCTTGAACAAGTTTTTACTAACATACGCTATCCAGAAAATCGGTAGGAAAAATCACAACGTTTTACGGTAGATAATTATTTTTGTTCCATTGGGTATAGCCAGGGATCCTGAGAAACTAGCCACTACTTAGTGCTGGTGCTGCTTTAAGCGCCGTAATTGAACCAATACTAACGGGCAAGAAGTCACAAATGTGGTGCCATAAAGAGTAGATAAATCAGAATAAGGAATTCCTAAAGTACGTAATGTCTATTTGTTCTCTTGGTATTGTATCATGAATGAGTTTCATAATGGAATATACATAAAAATCAACTTTTTTTATGTAAACATTTTGTGCGAATAATCTCAATGAACTTGAAATGAACACTGAAATATAGATTATTTTATTTGCACACTTGAGATTTATGATCCGATGATAATGTGACATTAGTCACAAACCCCACACACACATCAAGCAGATGCAAAATGGTAAATTAGTGGAAAACGTATTTGTGGATAATTACTAAACAAACCAATGAAAATGTCCAAAAGACATATTCTTAGTTAAACAAACACGTATCTTGTGAAAAATAATAGTTATGCTAAGATAAAGTACGTCAGTAAACGCATAGGTTCTTAGTTGAACAGATACCCAAAATTTCCATTGACCAAACATTGTGTCAGTCTGTATCAAGTATGATCAAATAACCATGCCATTTACGGTGAATACGTCATCCTCCATAAACATAACTTGATGACCAGATTGAATGCGTCAATTTTTAGAGACTGTGTGATATATCCCAGAGTTGCTTATCATAGAGCAGGCGTATTTACCCCTTGTCTTCTTCTAGATCTTGAATCCCATTACCCTACCATGCATACGTTTTCGCTCAGATTTTTCAAACTAACTCTCAATATTTAGTTTTCTTTTTTATCATTGTTGATACGTTATTCAGATTTTTTGTGCTAATGAAGTTTGGAAAATCGGGCAAACGTATATCTATACCAGGCTCAACGTTGGTAATATCTGTCTGCTTGCTCTAAATAAAACTGACCAGTTAATTAAAAAATAAAGACATGCTCAAAAGTAAACAATCTGAAGTGTAATTATTATTGATAATTACAAAATATAACAATAACTCTTTAAGAAGTAATTTCTGATGATTTTGGAAGCAATGTATCAAAAATTCAAAAACATACTTACAGTACTGAAGCGATAAAACATTGATTTACAGTTATTAGGTAGCGCATAGAATTTCTGACTTTTCAAAGTGAAGCTGTGCGAGACTCTAAAATTTGTTTTCGAAAAGAATACAAAAATATATGCAATTAGTTAGAATTCTTACGAAAATAAAATTTTAAAAGTTGAAGGTAAAATAGGTTAATCATCAGTACAATTATTTACCAATCTCAGCATTGTGATAACAAAACAAAAAGATTTTTGATGTGTCGAAAGAAACCAACAACTCCGCCTGCAGCTCTTTTAGAGTTTCTGCCGGTCCCAAGCCCGGGTAAAGGAGGAGGGTTGGGCATGGGGTTAGCGACCCCATCCCGTAGGAAACTAACTCGCTAAAAAACGCTAATCAGAAAAAATAATTCAAACTATGTAAACTCTGCCCTGGGAGTCGAAGGAATAATTATAACGCCTCATGATGAAAGCCGAAATTTTTCGAAAGTCACGAGGCCGATGCACCTTCTAACAACCAGAGCAACACTCTTTATAGGTACATGGAACGTCCGGACAATGTGGGAGACAGGAAAGACCAGTCAAATACCAATGGAAATGAGGAGATACAACTTGGCAGTACTCGGAATCAGCGAAACCCATTGGACACAAGCTGGACAACAAAGGCTAGGTAAGGGAAAGATGCTGCTGTATTCCAGTCACGAAGGAGAAAATGCTCCACACACTCAGGGAGTTGCTCTAATGCTGTCCAGATAAGCACGAAATGCAATTGTAGGATGGGAATCTCATGGATCCAGGATAATCAAAGCATCCTTCAAATCAAAGATGTAGGGGATCACAATGAATGTTATCCAACGTTATGCACCCACCAATGATAGCAACGACGACGATAAAGATCAATTCTATGAGAGGCTTCAATCAATCATAGCTAAGTGCTCAAGAAAAAACCTTACCATCCTGATGGGAGATCTAAATCCTAAAGTCGGACTGGACAACACAGGATATGAAGATATAATTGAACGACATGGACTAGGAGAGAGAAATTAAAATGGAAAGAGATTTGCAAATCAACTCTCAACAACAGGTTCCAAGCTTCACAGGATCTACTGAAAGAAGAAGAAACTATTATGCAGGACAACTAGAAAGCAATCAAAGAAGCACTAACTTCAACGTATCAGGAGGTTCTGGGTCGCAAGAAACATCATCATAAGGAATGGATCTCTATGCTCCCGAATGCCGTGGTACGGCCGAGAGTGGGGAGGGCTCGCCCTGCCTCACGAAATGCTCTCACATGGCTACGCGTATATAGCCTCTGTCAGGGAAGTCCTACTCACTGCCTTCTCGTGGCATTTCTGCTATTTACGAAACTGCGCTTAAACCGGGTTGGTGGACACGGCGCATCCACCTAAGGGAGTTGGAAAACCCTGATTCCAAACCAATGGTGCACATGGGTTCCAGTATCATGAAGGGACGAATGGCGTATGAACCAATTATTGGTCACCGGCTACCAGGGGACTGCATCTACTCACGATGCTCCAGACCTTTAGGTCAAAGGCTCCGGTTGTGGCCCCCTAAGAAAACCACTGCTTCGGTTTAGGCACACAAACCAAACGAAATTTGTGCGGCGCATACGTATCTGATGCTCTTTTGTACCAATATTTATGCGTTTAATTAAAGTAAATAAATAAATAAATGTATCTCTATGGGAACTCTGGACAAGATTCAAGAAAGGAAGAACAAGACAGCAACTAAAATTAGTCGAACATGAGCACAGTAAGTCAAGGCAAAAGCAGACTACACAGAAGCACAAAGGAAGTGAAGAAAAGCATTAAAGTCGACAAGCAGATATACATGGGAGAACTAGCAACGACGGCGGAAAAGGCTGCAAGAGAAGGGAATATGAAACAACTATATGATACAACGAAGAAACTGGCAGGGAAATATTGTAAACCAGAGATACCAGTCAAGGGCAAAGAAGGAAAGACAATCACTGACATTCAAGAACAGAGAAAAAGATGGGCAGAATACTTTGAAAAACTGCTGAATAGACCAGCTCCATTGGATCCACCGGACATCGAGGCAGCACACACAGACCTTCCTCTAGATGTCACTTTACCAACGATCGAGGAAATCAGGATGGTCATCAGATAAATCAAGGTCGGAAAAGCGATAGGACCTGAAAATAAACCAGCTGAAGCACTGAAGTCAGCCATCAAAGTAACTGTAAACATGCTTCACTTTCTATTCAAGAAGATTTGAGAAGAGAAACAAGTGCCAACGGACTGGAAAGAAGGAAACCTCATCAAGATACCAAAGAAAGGAGATCTCAGTAAATGTGAGAATTACAGAGGCATCAGTTTGTCGTCAGTACCAGGAAAAGTTTTCAACTGAGTTTTGCTCAGCCGGATGGAAGACGCAGTAGACGCCCAACTTTGAGATCAACAGACTGGATTCCGGAAGGATCAGTCATGCACAGACCGAATTGCGACACTACGGGTCATCGTTGAACAATCAGTTGAGTGGGATTCATGACTATAAATCAACTTTATTGACCATGAGAAGACGTTCGACAGTGTGGACAGAAGAACATTATGGAAACTTCTTCGACACTATGGAGTTCCTGAGAAGATTGTCAACATCATCCGGAACTCATACGGTGGACTACAGCGCAAAGTTGTGCATGAGGGACAGCTGACAGATGCATTTCCCTTCCTCTTTCTTCTGGTGATTGACTGGATTATGAAGACTTCGACATCTGAGGAGAAACACGGAATACAGTGGACATCTCAGAACCAAATAGACAATTTGGACTTTGCAGATGACCTAGCCCTCCTATCTCATACACACGAGCAAATACAGACGAAGACAAAAAATGTAGCAGCAGCCTCTGCATCAATAGGCCTCAACATACATAAACGAAATAGCAAGATTCTCAAATACAACACGGAGAACACTAACCCAATCACACTTGTTGGTGAAACTTTGGAAGAGGTGGAAACATTCACGTACCTGGGAAGCATAATTGATTACCAAGGAGGATCGGATGCAGATGTAAAGGCGAGGATTAGCAAAGAAAGGATCGCATTTTTACAATTGAAAAATATATGGAACTCAAAGCAACTCTCAACTAACTTCAAAGTGAGAATCTTCAATACGAACGTCAAGACAGTCCTACTGTACGGAGCTGAAATGTGAAGGTACAAGTATTTATAAACAGTTGTTTACGCAAAACACTCAACGGATACTATCAGCAACAGCGTTTTGTGAGAGAGGACAAACCAGCTTCCAGCTGAAGAGGAAATTAGGAAAAGACGTTGGAAGTGGATAGGACATACATTAAGGAAATCACCAAATTGCATCACGAGGCAAGCTCTCACTTGGAATCCAGAAGGGAAGCCGAAAAGAGGAAGGCCAAAGAACACATTACGCCGGGAAATAGAAGCAGATATGAAAAGGATGAATGTTAACGGGAAAGGATTTCTCAGGACAGAGTTGGATGGAGAATGCTGGTGTGCAGTCTATGCTCCTCCACGAGGGGTAACAGGCGTAAGTAAGTAAGTAAGTAAAGAAACCAACGACTGAAAGCTGGTATATAAAAACCAACTGTGTTGTTGCAATAATATTTACACTGATTCGGTAATTAATGGGATAAATCGATCAAGAAAGGAGATAGAAAACTGATACAACATCAAACAAAGGTCAATCAGTAGATAACATGAGGTCTTAACTACGGTACATCAGTTATCAACTTAAGAATACTTATACGCAGAATACGTTAAGTTAGAATCTTTACAATTTATCAGTGAATAACCTATCTGGCTCGAGTATTACAATCTAGATAATTCTCATATCTCAACGAAGAATAAATGACTGGTAATTGCTAGAAATTATTTATGGACTATTATCACATATATTCTTGTTGGATAACTATAAACTACATTAAATGTATATTTATATTCCTTTTATCCTAAACTTTCATTTGACTTTCATTATACGATTTACTATTCTTAAGTTATTCCCAATCTGTTAGTTACAGTCTCCTACACTCAAAGCCACTTTTGGTTTGATCTTGTATTTTTATTTTCTGGTGTGATGAGGTCTGATTTGCTTGTATATAAAGTGTGTTTGTTTGAAATATATAATTCATATGGTGGAGGCTGAGATTTGCTTTCTGGACTAAACGATCAGGGCTGGGCGAGAAGGATCAATAAAGATTCAGAGTTCAAGCAAAGCTGTTATTGCTGTGTTTGACGTGTCATTGGTTTAACACAAGAACAAAGTCATATAAGTGTCAATGTTCTGAATGGCAATTTCGTTACGTGATATTTGACAGAGGCAACAGTCATAACATTCTATGATTTACCTAATAAAAATGACCATATCAATTAGTTTGGGTATATAAAAAACATACATACAGCAATCTACTGAAAAGCGCGTTAGAAGTGCATTCTAGAAATTAAAAATGTGATGGTTATGATAACATTTTTAAAACGCTTTCAAGAACTTACATCAATAAGCTCTTCAAGACCAGTCCTATTGATTGGTTTGTTACAGAGAGAGGGTATTAGTCGATTATCTTCGGTAACTGAAGGAACAAGTAGAAATCGATTTCGATTTACATCACAATGACACATTGTAAAGTTGAGGGATTGCAACGAGTCGTTACATACATTTATTGGTTTGGAAGTCGAGGGATAAAGACTATTTTCCGAAATCGGAGTCTGGATTTCCATGTATGATAATTTGGTAGCGAAAAAAAGAAAATATCAACACAAATTGTAATGGGTACAGAATAAATCACCTATAGCAGGAGTTAGGATTATGTAAATGCAACCATGTTGAACCGACAGAAAAGTGAATACATTTCAATGTCGATGACTGATAGAATTTTATCCAAGCTTGAAATACTATTAGCAAGTTAAATAAGGGATCGACCTATCAGATATAGAGGGAATATTAGGAAACTCATGGTGAGGAGTCTTGTATTTCTGACAATGTAATGATTAAATAATGGTAGGATTCGGGAGTTTCTAGATTGTTGGTTTACTTTTCAAGGATAATTAATACTATAAAATACGAAGATATTAAAACAGTAAAGGAATACCTTTCGAATAAACGAAACTTCGCATTATTTACTTATACAGTTCGATATATTTTTGTTGCGTGCATACCATGCAGAATCGGAAAATCATTTGATTACTGGTCCCAAAACAATCCCATTAGGATCTAACTACTTAGCAAAGAAGATCCCAAATAGACTGCTAGGAATAACTGTTTTGTTGACTAGACAAAATACAAAGTATGGTAAAAACAACACTACGACTGGAAGTTGTGCTAATGCTATCATAATTCTTGTCATTTCGATAAAACATATCTGAATTTTCTACACAAAACAACATGCGATGTAAAAATAAGTAATTGACGTGAGGAAAAGCTTAGAAGGTTGCCGAGAATTAATTACTGAGATATTATGATGATAACATTATGCTGAAGAAAAAATAGTTAATCTAGTAAAAAATAAAACATTTCACAGTCACTGACCTCAATTAATAAACGTTTCAGTTTCAAAAGAATAATTCTTGTTGCTTGTAATTCCTCAACCATTTCTCTTTGTTCATTAGCAAATAGGAAACTAGATGGATGCTTTAATTCAGGACGCAAAGAATCATTAAAAATTTTCATTGAATTTGATTCCATAAAGGATGAAGAACGGTTTGGAGGATGATTTGGTCTAAATAAGATTAGTAAAGTCTTAAAATGTATGGATCAAGTAAACAAAATACAGATCTTTTGTAAGATAAATAATAATTTTAATAGTTGAGATCATAAGTCAATTGACGCTAAACTACCATGGAAAACCTGGAAGCACCGGAAGGTCGTTTCGTCCTATTGTGGGACTCCTCAGCAGTGCGCATCCACGATACAGCCTCGCAAGATTCCAACCCAGGACCTATTGATCTCGCACGCAAACACTTAACCTGTAGACGGTGTTAATGTCTAATTTCAATTAATCGACAAAATTGAGCGACACATCCACCGTTGTCTTTAGTGAGTTATCTCACAACAGGACGAAACGGCCGTCCAGTGCTTTCAGGTTTTCTGTGGTGATCCAGCTTCAATTGACTGATTATCTCAACTATTGAACTTACTATAATATCAACAAAAACCTTTTCAGCTAAATAATACTAAGTAAATAAATTATATTTTGGAAATAATATATAGTTAGAAAATAATGATAATATATAATTATTCTTTCTGAAAAAAAAACACCAGAGAGTAACGCAAAACTTGTGCAACACAAGACAGGGTAGCTACTTGAAAAATTTGCACTAAATAAAATTAAATAGTGACAAGAATTAAAATAATAAAATGATAGTACGACGGAAAATTAACTACCACGTGCTGAGGACAAAATTAACCCTGCTTCTCTGTAGGATAGTTATAATCAACGTAGGATCTAGCACGAATGTATGTCAGCTGCAGTTGCAATACCATATTAACATAACGAGATAAAATAGGTGTGATGAGTAGTAACTGCGATGATAATGAAAAAGACTAAACATTCAGAATATGGTTCAAAAAGGAATGTATGAAGGAATACTGAAATCCAAAATCGAATGTAAGCTACGAAATGAATGAGTCTATTCATTTGGATTAACAAAGGTGATTGTATGTCATCACCCTATCCAAAGTGCTTGTGTGACAGGCTCTCAATGTTTCAATAAACTTCTAAAGCAAATCCCTAACAGTCGATTGTAAAGTAAGGTTCAGTGTAACCAATCGAAGCTGGATTTTATGTCAATAATTTGAGCCTCCAATACTTGTGAGGATGTTCAAAATTCTGATAAAATGTGGAGATATGAACTAGTTCGCTTTTCACAAACCAGTTTTTCAAAGCCCTTGCTTAGTCCACACGATAGACGACAGTCAATATTTGTGACGCAGTTGATAGCATACTTATACTACAAACACTATATGGGCTTGTTTTGAATATGTAAGGCATAGTATTTTTATTTCACGTCCGGCAATCTGTCGAAGGGTGAATATTTGGCCTGTACATCCACACCGAGGTCTGAAACCAGATTGGTTTTCCCGGGTTTGCTCTTCACAAGCTTTAGTTAGATGTCGGAGTATAATTTAAGCCAATATTCTAGAGAATATGTTAGTTAAACTGATACCTCTGTGATTGTCACAAGAGAATATTTGTCCTTTCTTATAGACCAGCACAATCAGAAATCGAGACCCGTCGGATGAGATTACGTTCAGTCCCCAGATTCTATCCAAGATCTCAGTTAATCTAACTGCTAAAACTGGACCACTATCCCGATGGTTAGTCTACCAGGTCGTGTTGCTAACCCTCGTTTTAGACTGATCATAGCCTTTCCAACCTCACTAAGAGTTGGAAGACTTACATCAATCCGCACTGTTGAGTTGGGAGAGAATAATACTAACGTCTTTTTCCGAGATAGTCTCACTAACAGCCGAATTTCTAAATGTTTCCTTGATAAGTTAGAAGAGTTGTCAGTTTTCGGGCATCTAAATGTCCGAAAAACGTTACAGAAACCGACTGAAGCATAATCCATTCTCCTCACATTTGTTCTTTGAACAAGTGGCTTACGAGACATCAGAAAATCTAATTTTTCTACTCATATATATATATATATACATCTAACCCATATATATATATATATATATATATATATATATATATATATATATATATTAGTTATATTAATTAGTATAATTTTAGGTTTTATGTAGCTGATGAGAAGGTGTGAAACAGAATGGATCCGTTTTCTCCTGCAAACCTTATTGATTTTGCTGTTTAAATTTATCAAGAGACCTGGTTGCCTGAAATTAGCTTTTATTGTAGTTGCTTCCAACATAGTTAATTTAACCTTACTATAAGAGTTCGAAGTAAGCCAGTCGAAGTAGCGAGTAGAACGTTTACGATATAATATAAGTCAACATCGACCAAAACATCCAGAAAAGACTAATAGAAGGTTAAGAGTTGTTATACAAACATATTTTAATGAAATCTCTCATGTCCTTTACTCTCTATGGTTCATTTAACTGTTTCACCACTGGGTATTTGTACTGATCCGATGAAGTAACCGGAACTGGTTCACTTGAATGCGAATTTAGCCATTTACATAGTTTTTTCTCTGTTACGAATATTGAGTTCAAAAATTCATGAAAATTTAGTCCTTCCTAGAACGAAGAAAAAAAGGCATCTACTAGGAAAATCTGTAAGATATATGTAACGTACGGCCCAGCATGTATGTATTGAGTGCATTAACAAGACCAAAAGTACCTATGAATATTTTCATGCATAACAGTTCAATCTAAGCTACAGAGCTTCGAATCGATCCACAGAATGCATAACTTTCAAAATCATAAAGTATCTTTGAACATGATATTACTAACCATATAATACTTGTAATGACAATCCATAAATCAAACTAACTAATATAAATAAGTCATCTCAAACCAAATTTACGTGACCTAAGTTAATTTTATCTTAGACTGTCAGTCAGTCAGTCACAACGTAGAACTTCGTACGTACGTACATCAGTTCGAGTTGCCATACCAAATTAGCACAGAGATGAAATTGTCGATTCAAATCTCATAGTGGTAGAAGTAGTAAGAGTATAAGCATTATGTGAAAGATAAGGGTTTGAAGATGTTATTGAAGGAGTATAATACGGTGAAATAAATTTGGAAAAAAAAAGACAGGGATATGAAGAATTCAGAAGATTAGAATTTGGTACCAGGATAAACGAGCAATGCTTCGAAAACATCTATGATCGAAAACTAGTAGCCTACGAATGTCCTCTACTCTTATCGGCCACGTTTCACTGCCATAAAGTAGAACGGAACGAACTGCTGCACAGTAAACACGTCTTTTGGTTGCTAGACGGATATCTCGCCTACGCCATAAATGACGCAAGTTGGTGAAAGCTAGACGAGCCTTCTGTATCCGTGCTGAGATTTCGTCACACATCAGACCACAAGGGCTGATGAGACTCCCAAGATAAGTGAAGCGGTCGACACGCTGAACTACTTCACTCCCTATCATTAGTTCAGGTGTCGATGCAACCCAATCCTGAAGTAACATTTTGCACTTCGAGGGAGAGAATCGCATCCCGAACATGCCTGCATAGTTGCTTATGGTGGTCAGAAGACTCTGCATTTTGTCAGCGTCTTCACCAAATAAAACTATGTCGTCGGCGTATTCTAAGTCAACAAGTGAGCCTCCTGGTAAAAGCTCAACTCCTGGAGATTGAGATGATAAAAGTGTTATCTCCAGAAGCATGCCGACGACAAAGTTAAACAAGAATGGAGAGAGTGGACAGCCCTGATGAACATCACTTGAGGTAACCAGTTCTGATGACAGTTCGCCATAGGCTCTAACTCAACCAGTTGTGTTCGAGTAGAGAGCCTTTATGAGGTTAATGTAATTCTCTGGTACCCCTTTCAGTGACAAACAGTGCCATAGAACCTCACGATCAACTGAGTCAAATGCCACCTTAAGGTCAAGAAATACTACTATTGTGGGACGTCTTAATGTATGCCTATGCTTTAGGACCTGACGTAGAGTGAATATCTGGTCTATGCAACCACGTCCAGGTCGAAAACCAGCCTGGTTTTCTCTAGTCTGCTCTTCACAAGCTTTGCTTAGGCGACCTAGTATTATTGAAGCTAATATTTTAGACACTATATTAGTCAAACTGATCCCTCTGTGATTGTCACAGGAGGACTTTTGTCCTTTCTTATAGACTGGCACAATCAGTGATTGGGACCAGTCAGATGGAATTACGTCCAGTTCCCAGATTCTACCTAAGACTTCAGTCAATCTCGCTGCTAGTATTGGACCACCATCCTTAAAAATCTCAGGAGTAAACCTGTCAGGGCCTGCTGCTCTCCCTCGCTTTAGATTTTCTATAGCTTTTTCAACCTCGCAGAGGGTTGGAGGACTTACATCAATTCGCCATTCAGGACGACTGGGGATCGTGGGTAACTGAAGTGTGGCTGAAGGCCAGTTGAACTGGTCCCTAAAGTGTTCTGCCCATCGATCCAATCTCCTGGATTGAGAATGAATGATATGTCCATCTTTATCTGAGATGGTTTCACTGATACTTGGGTCCCTAATACCGGTTTCTTTAATGAGTCTGAATAGCTGTCTACTGTTACCTATTGCCGCTGCCTTTTCCATCTCTCTTGCTTTCGCTACCCACCACTGTTCGCGATCAATGCATAGGCCTCATGTTAGCCTGTGCTTAAGCTGACTCCCCTCTTCGTTATGTTCAGAGCCAGATGAAATGAGTTTTCGAGCATCTATCAGTACGGTAGATACTGCTGAGATCCAGCGTTTCTCCGTAACACTATGGTTTACCGTACTAGCAGATATCACTGCTGTTTCCACAGCTTTTCGGATGTCATTCCACGCTGCCTTGGGGTGGGTACAGCTTACAGAGCTGCCTAACTGCTTTTCCAGTTGTTTCTGAAATATATTCTTAGCTTGCTTATCATTAAGTAGGACCCTTGGAGGCTTCCCCGCAGTGTCTTTCCTACGTCCAGTAAGACGCAGACAGATACGTGCTCGCACCAGAGCATGATCCGAGTCTAAACGTGTGCCCCAGAATGATCGACAGTCTTCTATCGAGCCCCTCCATCGGTGGGTCCAACGTTGGGACGAATTCGGGGGTCGCCATGTCAAAAGATGTTTTTCCTTATGCTTAAAGTTAGTATTTGCAAGAAATAGGCGGTTATCTGAGCACAGCTGCAACAGACGGTCGCCATTATCTTAGACTGACATTTATCCTTTTCGTTTATTTGTACAAACAAAACTTATCAGTTTAAACTCCGCGTATAAACATAAATTGTGGAGAAGAAATTAAAAATAAAACGTGTTCTTTGAAAAGTAACTATAAAGTGAAAAAGAATACATTCAGAAATCGCACGATTATTTTTCAGTCAGCTATATGATCTTACGAGGCAAAATGAAGAAATCACTCAAATCATAACTAAACTCAAATCAAATAATCTGATATTTCACCTTATCCAGTGACATACACATAGTATATTTGCAAAACAATATCACAAACTATGCTTTGAAAGTAGTTTAGTGTTTGTTAAATACAAACCCAATATCTGGTCACAAAAATAACTAACAAGGAAGTTTTAACCAATAACATCATTTGCATGGAAACATAAACAATACGGGGAAATTTTACCATAATAATGATTGCCAGATACTAATAATTGTAAAAATCGAAGAATTCACTAAGTTTGGTCAATTATCAGGATCACAAACATTTTGAATAAAATTTCCCATTCGGCCTTAAAGTGTTAACGGTACGTTAGTGATTAACTGGTGTGGAAGTAGTGTATTGGGTACAAAACTTGTTTATGACAGACTAATTTTTATTCGAATGAATGAGTCTGTCAGCCGCCTGTAGCTTTTATGTTCTATGACAAATGAGATTCATGTAGTAAATAAACAGTTGGTTCATAGTATGAATTAAAAAAACACATTTCCATGAATTTATTTACTTTACCACGGGAAAAACCAGAGCATTTATTACACATATCACAAAATATTTAGAAAGCATTAAAAACTGATACATTATTACGAAGGCATATAATTTACCTTTGTGTAGGAATTCCAAGACGGTAAGTCTTGGAAATCAACTTTTTATCTGAACATTTAGCAGTCACAGAGTTTAGTAAATTTGTACAAGATGGAGAATTCAGTAAGTAGTTGTGAATATCTGATACACCATCATTTAGGTCACAATGTCTACTACCATTATTTAATTGTTTTTTGAACCGTGAGTCGAAATCATCAGTTGTTCTTGTTTCAGAAGAGTTGCGCTTCAATGTTGAAACAGATGAGTAGTTAAGGGTAAACTTTCTTTGCAACGATTCATGTACGTTTTTATTATCGGAAGGACTGGGTATACGAGGTTGGAATTTCATCGGTTCTTTTCTGACATTAGAAATATGTGGGGCACAAGGTTTAAAAACTTTACCACCAAACACTAAATATTCTTCATTCTCTTCAACATTGCTAGATTTTTTGTGTGATAAATTATTATTGTGCGCTCTAGTAGTGGTTACTTGAGAAGTGGAACATGAGGAGACATCTATGATGTAGAAAAAACAATATGATAATGTATCAAAACACCCTTTAGAACATTAAACTCAAAAATTAGTAAGTAAGCATAAGAAATGACAACATGATCACTAAAACTGACTCAATGACTTTGATTACAGAAAAGATCTAAGCTTCTGGAAGTCCGTGTTAGATGATAAGATGTGAAACAACAACGGACCAATCCCAATTGAAACCACGTAGATCTACATAGTATTATTTACACATTTTGTGTACTGATGCAATCTATCACCAGATTGCTTCTGGAAAACCAACGTTGTTAAACCTGAATGACTGTCCTACCAGTCCCCCCCCCGAAAAAATCATACCTCATGATTTCACCCACTAATTGATCTAAGAGCTTTTAGATTGAATACTTTTAACGGTAAATATGGATTCAATTTATAAGTCCATTGAATATTTTTAAGCTCTTCTACATAAGCATTTAGGCGAAACTAAAGAAATACAATTGCCTCACATCGTTCTTCCAAAACAGAAATGAGGTTGAGAAGAGTCGATTGACCTCCTTGGGTCTCTTTCATTTTCCCGCCGAAAACATTCTGAAAAACAGTTGTGAGGTAGGTAGCTAGTTTTGGAAGTGGGTATATGTTATGTCTGAAGCGGCTACGAATTCACTTAGTCAGCGAACGGAACAAAGACTTGTGACCAGAGACCAATAAGCTATCTATACTGACGCGTCCCAGACCCAGCTAACTAGAGTGAAAAGCCCAAGTTGGAAGTGGGGAAAATATATTCCGTAAGCAGCCAGAAGCACAAGCAATCGCAGCAGAAAGAAATCAAACGTATATATACAGCATAAAACTGTCCTTGAGAAGCATCACAAAATAGCATATTAAAAGATACAACGGATCGATAGCGTTTAGGATTTTCCCAAGTGGAAAATACGACTCGAAGGTGAAAAGAGTGCCTTTGCTGCAAAAACAAGAAATTCAAATTTTCAAAATAAAATTACAAAAATAAATCATTTACTAAGTGAGTTTTGGGGATTTAACAACCCCAACAGTATAGATGAACGACGGGAAGAAAAAAATCTTAGGTGCTGAGACTACTCATCGAAATAGGTAATTGCTTAGTAGCGCATAGGCTAACCAAATGTCCTAGAATTCAACGCTTGTAGAGTACGCAACAGTCATCTAAACAATGGATATCCTTTGACTTGCTGAATGGAGAAGCGATACACTGGTAAGTATAAGCGAATTCAGTCGAAAAACACACATCCTAAAGGAAGACAAATTTTGTCAAACATCTTGTAATAATTTCGGCGTACATCAAGCAACCAGACTAACGTTTTGGTATCGAAAAAGTCGGTAGAACTGCACACTATGAAATACGCTACAAAGAACGAAATGACAATATCGTAAAGAAATGAATAGAAGAAGAGACTACAAGACAAAAAAGAAGTGTGGAGGAATACAGTGCAGACAAAATACGCTTCGTTCAGTTAAAAAAAAATCTTGCTATTTACGAAGGGTATAAAAAAACAAAATCCAGAGTAATCACTAATTTTCAATTTGATTTATGTCTCATAAAGCCGCAGGTTATTGAGTTGCAGGACTTTTGGAACTAAAAATAACTATCCTTTATTATATGAATTCGTGCCATAAAACCAACACCTACTCGCATTTTATATCTACTACCAACGTCGGCGATCAGTGATCCGCATAAAAGTTGTTGAAAAGAAATGCACGAAATATATGCAAAACACAAAAGCCTGTTTTAAAATAATATTATCCATTGGACAATTATCTCAGACATCTACAAACGCACATCGGTAGACCTCAGCGTTACACGGAATGATCACAAAACGGGGACAACTCTACAGAAAACAGTTGAAAATGGATCCCAAACAGCCTAGGTATTTGATCATTCACAACCATCGGCCAATAACAAAGTTATTTGATGATAAAAACTAAGTCCTACACTTATGTATGCTCATGGTCAATCCACAGTATGATTTCGTTGAACATTGTGTATTTATACATACGTAGCACTATGCCAAATTTATTGTTAGTTCAACAACGAAAATTCGACAGAACAATTTTATTATATACATTTCCCCTTTGTATTTCGTCACTAGCTTTAACAAGATTTCAGAAAAAGCTAACACATACTAAACGACTACAGTTTATAAGATTTCATCGTTTTAACTGACATCAATATCCAGAAACCATAAATTGGAAGGTAGCTTGTACAATGAATAAAATAACCGTTCTTACTCATCACAAATAATTGAACTAGCATCATCATTACATGCTGAATTTAAGTAAAATCTATCTTATATATGGTTTTGTGTATTTTTTTTAAACCAAATATACGTACCATTTTCTTTGACTACAGTACATAACATTAAGTCATGATCACTAGATGCTGGTGAATCTCGTCCTTTGTTACATGTTTTGGAGTCTGGATAAGAGTTCTGAACAGGAGGATTTTCGGATTGCAGCTTTTTACTGGTAATCACTGAGTTGGAAAAAGGATGAATTGATCTAAATCCAAAACAACCGACAGATCGATGTATTCGCTTCTTCATCTACAAAGGAAACGCTTAAGTGAAAATATTTCTAAATAATTAACCATTCGTGTTTAGGAACATAGGTCATGAGAAAGCTTAATCTTTTAAACATGAGCATCAATATAAACGAGGAATCCGAAAAGGATGTGAAGGAGTCTTCGACAGTCTGGAGCAGGGATGTTGGTGGAGTAACATTCTCGGGATAAATATGGTTTAGTTACGTCTACGATAACTTTGTTACGTAATGCTACCAGGGCATCCAAGTGCCCTGGTACGGCCGAGAGTGGGGAGGGCTCGCCCTGCCTCACGAAATGTTCTCACATGGCTACGCGTATATAGCCTCTGTCAGGGAAGTCCCATTCACTGCCTTCTCATGGCATTACTGCTGTTTACGAAACTGAGAGGACGAAAAGAGAATGTCCAGCGCTTAAACCGGGTTGGTGGACACGGCGCATCCACCTAAGGGAGTTGGAAAACCCTGATTCCAAACCAATGGTGCACATGGGTTCCAGTATCCTGAAGGGACGAATGGCGTATGAACCAATTATTGGTCACCGGCTACCAGGAGACTGCATCTACTCACGACGCTCCAGACCTTTAGGTCAAAGGCTCCGGTTGTGACCCCCTAAGAAAACCACCTGGGCAGTATCACAACCCTCGCATAAATAAAATGTAATGACGATTTATACTGAAAATACTATTTGTGCTTCGATTAAAGTCAAACAATTCACGTTATTATTATTATTTTACCACGTCACTTATTCACTCTCTCTTATTCCCACATATACAGCAGCCCGCCTATGGTGGAAACCCTGTCCTATCCAAACGATCTCGAGTCAATGACTGGTGGAAAATTGAATGCTACTACTGAATACGAATACTGAAACAGCTTTTCTGAAACCACGTATGCCATTCAAACTGGCTTCCTTCAACGTTCGCACACTAATGCAGATCGGACAACAGATAGGGCTGGCTATGTCTTTAGAAAGTCTTAATATCGACGTTTGTTGTCTATCTGAGACCCGTATTCAAAACTCTAATGAAGTACTACAAATGCACCCTTCACCTGTCACTTCGAAAGGCTTATTTTACGTGCGTTTATCTAGGGACCCTGTGGCATATTCATCTGATCTTGCTGGCATTGGTGTCGCACTAAGCGCTAGAGCTGAGGCAGCACTAATCGATTGGATCCCCATTAACAGTCGGTTATGCGCTGTTAGATTAGAAAGCTCCATCACAGTGAGAAGAAATCACCTATACCCCGACAGATTGCAGCCCGGATGCAATAAAGGATGAATTCTACCAATAGTTAACTATTCTCCAAAAAGTGTGTTCAACAGATATTGTAGTACTAGCCGGAAACTGGAATGCACAGGTCGGGTGTCTAGGCACAGAAGTCGTTTAGGTGACCGATGGAGACGTGTTGGTCGCAGGACAGATAACGGAGACCGTCTGCTGCAACTGCACAGACCACAACCTGTTTCTGATTAACACTAACTTCCGGCACAGTCATCGCCGATGTGCCACCTAGCGTCCTCCCTCTGTATCTCAAGCCTGGACTCACATCGATCACATCGCGCACAGCTACCGCTGGCATGGTTGTGTACTGGACTCTGATTATGACCTTGCTTACGCTAATCTCACTTTACGTTTCAGTGACCAGTAAATTCATCGTCCTAAACGGGTCAATTTCAGTAAATTGGTTGAAGCTTCTATTGCAACTAAATACCAAACCAAGCTACATTCAAGGCTAGCTACCATCTCACCGAAAAGTATAGATTAGCGTTAGTTGCGCATTACGCCATGAAGATGGCGAGTAAAGTCGCTTGCGGCTTCGCGAAACGTTCAGCTTATAAGCAATGGGTTTCTTCAGGCTCCTTACAACTCATTGAAGCCCGTCGGTCTACTCCAGGCGACCATGAGTTTGACCACAAAAGAAGGCTATTACGCAACGAAATTGGGCAAAGCTTGCTTAAGATCTGAGAAGCCTGGTTGTCGGAGCGTGCTAATGAGATGGAAGCAGCAGCTGTATCTGGTAACTTCAGAAAGCTCCTTCAACTCATCCAGGCCACTTGCAGTAAGATGTCCGGTGTAAGCGAAACAATCTGTGAAGATGACGGTATGCAAATAACTAACATCCATCGGTATCTTGGACGATGGGCACAGTTTTTCAAGAAGCAGTTCAACTGGTCTGCTGCCCAAGCACCATCGATCAGACTGTACCAATGGAGGCGGAAGTCCGCACGGGACTCTAATTCTTAAATCGCTACAAATCACCAGGCCCGGATGACTTACATCCGGCTTTTTTTAAGATGGAGGTGACTTTCTGACTAAGGGGTTGACTGAGTTGTTTACAAAGGTCTGGTTCACATCGTTTCTGCAACAACTATCGGGGGATAAGTCTACTTCCAATTGCGTCCAAACTATTGGCTTCCGTCATACTTCAAACGTTGTTCAAAACCCGAAAACGATTGACTCGCGAGGAGCAGGCTGGTTTTCGTTCTGGTTGGGGATGTATTATCATATCTTCACTCTCCGCCAAATGTTAGAACACCGTCATACTCATCACAGGCCAACAATCGTAGTGTTTCTTGACTTTAAAGCCTTCTAGTTCGTTAGACAGGAATGTTCTCTGGGATTGTCTATTGAAGAAGGGTGTGCCTGGGAAGTTTACTAACATCTTAAAGGCCCTATATACAAACACCTCAGGCAGAGTGAGGGCATACAACCACCTCTCCCCACTGTTCCATTTAAGCAGTGAGGTTAGGCGGAGTTACCTAATCTCACCATTCCTCTTCAACTTTGCTATTGACGACATTCTGGAAACAGCTCTGATGTAATCATGGTATGGATTTGCTGCCTGGAGAAAGACTTCTCGACCTTGAGTAAGCGGATAATATTGTCTTACTCTGTGACAATGCCCAAGCCATGCAATCCGCACCTAATCAGTTGGCAATATGTGTCCATAGGTACGGTATGTGATTTGCACTTTCGAAGTGCAAAGTACTTCTACAAGACTGGTAGGATTCTAATCCTGTACTCACCCTGGGTGGTGAGCAGATTGCAGTAGTCGAGAAGTTCGTGTATCTAGGTAGCTGCACAAGTGCTGGTGGTGGCGTGAGTGATGAGATCGGTTCACGTATAATGAATCCAGAGCGGTTTACATCAATCTGGGCCATCTTTGGTGTCTTCGTGATATTAGTCTGGCTGTAAATATCGGACCTACAACCCGTCAGTGAGACCAGTTTTGCTCTCTGCTTGTGAAACCTGGTCTTTCCTGATTAAGGACGTTAGACGGCTGTGTTTGTTCATTGTTGTCTCCAACGGATTTCTGATATTCAAGGGCAACATGTTAGTAATGCTGAGGTACAGCAACGTGTGTTTGGACAGTGACGACAATTCAATCGGTGTCACCATCTTGAAACACCGACTTCGGTGGCTTGGACATGCACTATGTCGTTCCAGTGAATTCCACATCGTACATTATTTGTCGATACCAGGACTAGTTAGAAAAGGTGAAGAAGCCAGTGGATGGCATTGTGTCGTGGCAAGAAATAAAGCTGGACAGGACTGGCATCTGTTGGTCCTTCATGACTTCCTGGTTGTGGTCTTACAGATGGTGCAACATATTGGCTTGCGATGTTATCGGACATGCCTCTGAATATATTTATTTATCTGAACACAAACATTGGTTAAGGAGGGCACCAAATATATGTTTGTCACAAAATAACAATGAGGTAACGAAGAGATAGAGAATGCAAAGTGGGTATAATAAAAGAACAACGAACAGAAATTAGTTCTTGAGTGAGATAATAATAATAACCATTATTATTATTACTATTATTGTTATGGGGAAAACAGTTCAGTTAGGAGACATACAACCAGAAAGAAAGTTACGGCAGGATCTCCACTGACTTCTATTCTGAGCCACGTCTAGTAAAGTCTCTAGTCACTGTGTTGCACCATCTCTCGGACCCCAACCAGGGAGTCGGGAAGGAGCAACAGAAGCCAGCCCTTTGTAGCTTTCTTTCATACCACGACACCATTTCATACACTAACCACCTCTCCGCCTTTTCCAACCATTCCCAGAGTCGGCAAATAATGCACGACGTGGAATTCTGAGACGACATCCGTAGAACTTGTCCAATCCACCGAAGTCGATGTTTCAAGATGGTGATACCAATAGGATTATCCTCGGTGTCCGAACACACGATGCCGAACCTCTGCATTACTAACATGGTGTTACCACTGGATGTCAGCAATCTTTCGGAGACAACGATGATCAAGCCTCAGAACATAAGCCAGTGGCGGTCCTGCTGTAACTTTCTTTAAAAATGTGAAAGTAACTTCTTCAATTGGAAAAAATGCTTTTAGGTTGTATTTTTCCTAAATGGACTGCTTCTCCCATCATTATCATTGTTTTTATTATTATTTCACTCTTATACTCTAATTTGAATTGTTTTTTAATCACATTCATTTCACTTTCCTCAAAACTACATTTCTACTGTGTGGCTTATGCATATTTTGGTGCTTTCTTGTACAAATATTGTTTAATAAATGATAATACTAATAAACCACAAAATGATAGGGTCATAAGAACTGTCAATCATAGGTAAGCAAATGTCTGACGTTTTTCCAGTAAATAGGTGACAAACAAAAGTGAAGGTCCCAATTTGGAATTCCCTACATCCAGAACAGAGAAATAAAAGATCATCCGAATTTTAAGATCAACGGTAGCTTGTATGGATAGAGATTTTGAAAAGCCACTAGACTAGAAGAACCATTCTTAACTATTTTACCTGTTATTTCACACCATACCAAAGGAATTCCTTACCAATTCCATTTACTTACTGTTTACCTTTCTGTAAATCACGAGTCCTAATGTTCCTTCATAAATATCTCATTCTTACCCCAACCATATTCTCGATACTTAATCTTTTTTCCTATGATTGCTATAACCTTTTTGACTTCTTTAGCTTTCATCTTGTGCTAATGTGATATGGCTAACCCACATTAGTTGCGCACTACGTTGATAACGACTGAATGACTACTGTTTCAATAACCATATTTTTGAGTTTTCTGTTCATACTATATCAGTAAAAATCTGAACCGTGGAATATGAAACAAGAATGATTAGAAAATGATGAGGGTCAGTTAGAAAAAGATGAGGCGAAAAACAGAAAACACTTCGTTTACCTAGGTAAAACCCAATTGAGAAGTAAAGGTAAGACTTTCTAGCAAAACGCGACAAACATCTCAGCAACAATCTACCTACATAGTCTATTACACCTGCACTAGAAGAAATAGTGAGTTTTCCTTGTGCTTACTTTTCTCCTAAATTTTGCCTACGTCGACACTATCTTTCCAGAAACACTAACGACGCAGTTTGACTGGGTTGGAAGTTCGATTTCCACGTGATAAATCATTTATCTGCAAATATTTAAATTGTAGTTCCGGGTTTCCCATATATTCCCCACGAGTCTCATGACACTTTGGGGAAAACTATCAGATTTTGTACGACTTCGGGGAAAACCTCAAAATTTCCCCGAAATGTGGAAATTGGGAACAGTTGCTAGCATTGCATGTTAGGTTTACACGAAACATATCTTCAAACTATATTGTTTGACCCAGCTTCTATAATTGTGAACCAATTTATTACTGAATGTAACACCCTAGATCCTACAACATTTACACATAAGTCAACATACATGAGACGTCGTTGACCGACAGGCAAGCTTTTTTCAAACAAGATAGAAGGCTACAGTCCAATGCCCAATATCTTTGTGACCAGTTAGTTCAAACCAATATTCTTTTTTGCGTCTGTGACCTTAGGTTGGAGAATATTTTTGATTTTTTTCGGTATTTAGAGGGAAGGGAGTGATCGTTTGATCATAATAATCTGGCATTCAAGTCTTTTGACGAGCTTGTATGCACCGATTGAGTTCGTTGCTATCACCTCTTGTTGTTTCGATGCAGTTCCAGGACTTTAATAATATCCGATTGACGTTGGTTTAGTCGCTAGACTGCACCAGTTTTAGTCAGTTTTAAAGTTATTTGTGGGTCTATATATTTTGTACATCTTGGCCGTTGCGAACAGTATGTATTGAGGTTGATTGATTGCACCTGTCTCAGAACAGCGAGATAGCTTCAACCCATAACATCTGCATAATGAGAAAGTGGTTTAATTGTTAGCACTGTAAGTAATTAGATGTGGATTTGAAGAGTGAAAAGGTTCGAAAGGAATATAAGACAAATAAAACTAACAAATAGTTGATAATTTTAATAGTTGAATTCATGATTCAGTTGAAGCGAGACCACCGGGGAAAGCCCAGAAGTGCTGGAGGCCGTTTCGTCCTAGTGTGGGAACTCCTCAGAGGTACGAATCCACGATCTCGCTCCGTGAGACTCGAACCCAATGGTTATAAGCAAAATAACAAATGAGTGGGGCCAGAGGGGATGATGAGGGACATTATGAGGGTAACCCTGATGATTATGCGTGTACATATTAAACTTCTAACTTATCTGACAAAGAAACATGGATAGGGACTTATGTAATTGATCACATAGGGCAATCACAGCGTTGGGTGATCGTGTAGCATAGACAGTTTCAAAGACGTTATAGGTTGATTTCGATCTTGTCAGTATTGATGATTACTAGGAGCTGAATATGAATGAGCTTGAGGCATAATTAAGATTACTTCTTGACTCACGTCCAGGTGAAAGAGGAGAGCTGAGTAAAGCGTTATCAACCTAGTCCCGTAAAAATGAGCGTTGCGACAACAACGCCTACCAGAGAAAACAAAGTAAACTCTCCTTGAAGATTTGTGGACATGACTGGCACGAACTTAATTCATCATGAACAGGTTTCATGATTCCGGTTAGTTTGTGTTGTTTATAAATCGTTGTTAAGGTTGTCTTCGCATTTCCTCATACGCCGTTTGGATGTTGGGCTGATTGGTGTCCACTGGACTCACTGCTTCGCATATCACTCTCCGTCCTCGCTCAAATCGCTGCCATAATGACAGGCCTCCAACATACATGATACGTCCATATGCAGATTATGGTTTGAACTCTACCTAACGAAGCATACTTCATGATCCTGGATTATATCCATCATTTTGGAAATAACTGCCTTAATTTTGGACTGACGTTTTGGACCTATCGAATGACCAGCTACTTCAAATCTTTACTACATAAAGGCTGGTTTTATAATCCGATTTGATGATTCTCTATCATGTTTATGATGCCGGATAACATTTGATAGTTATCTTTACAAAGGTAATCTCGTATCTTATCAGCTCCGTTTGGCTGGAGTTGAAATTATGTATATTTACGCTTTGCAAGGCAACATACTTTCATAAAGTGTATTGCATGCGAATAAATCGCTTCAATCCATGTCTTAACTAGACATTATGTCTCTGTGTTACCTTACGTAATATGCTACGTAATGCTAGACGCCAAACCTTCATTCATTTCCGTTCACAAAACACCTTTTAATCTTTTTTCGCATAGGAGATAACCGAGTTTACTAATCCGTCTGAATTTGCCATCATTTTACACGTTAACTTGTTAGTTAACTTTCTTACTTCACGGATATCCTGTTCATATTGTTTTCAGTTTGCTTATGTGCAGTACACGTATGGCTGAATCCCTGGAATTTTCGAAAAACCTTGCTGCAGTCTTTACCGTCACACATATTTGTATTCGCGCATTCGGCTGTTGTACCAACACTACCCAACCGCATTTTTACACAGTTATCAGAACATATGACAATGATGTTATTTTACTATGACACCATCAGATACACCGGAATCAGTGTAGTTTTTTAAATTTGCTGATTTAACAAATTCATTGTGTTCGAAAATACGAAGACGTTAAAGGTTTAAAACGTCTGAGGTGGTGCTGGTTGTTTGCGATACACTAACGAATTAATAACATTACATCAACTAATGCGTAAGAAATTTTCAACGCCATCGGATACTATCGCCAGGACTTAGCAGTTTTGAAATATGATCGGTATACGGGGTAGGACTACCGAAACAAACTCCGCAAATGAATAAACTCATGGAATTTTTCGGTGAATAGATTGTTGTTTCCTAGTGGCTCTTACCCGACAGATGATTTTGATAAATATTGGCTGCTCATAAGCTCAACTATTTACAATCCGCCAAAATAGATCGGTGGTCTATAGGTAAAATCGTAAGTAGGGATCGTAGGTCTACGCAGTCGAACGAGTCTCCTGAAAACATGAAACTATCTTATCGCATCCATATCACTACTGAAAGCGTTCCGTATCAACATTATAGACATAGGTCCAGAGTGACATCCCTTAGTTACTTATGTCTTCTCTCACATTTTTACGGTTCGCTCATCGAACTAATATTCATCTTTTGCCGTTTGACATCCGATGAATATAACATCATTGCCTCACCTGTACTTGTAATTTACAACCCTTAATAACAATAACAACTTACGATCACTGGTTTTTAAAATTCTAGCTACTAAGTGATCAGTAACTTTTCACATCGAAGTCCTGAATTCCAAATTTATATTTCTGCACATACATATGTGACTTGAAATAGACATTTTGAAATAGGAAAGCGTCAACAACACTGACTAGCTTTCTGTTTTGAGCCAATGTCAGTGTGACCATTAATGCTGTTTGATAACACACCTATCGTGCTACCATCGAGCTATCATTTCCCTTAGCAAAGCCTTTATGCTGCTCATCCGGAAAGCTGCTGATCGCCTATCAATGCTATCTATTCAACAATACTAAGCAGAACATTCTTTTCGAAAATATTCTTTAATAACCAAGATTTATTCTTGATGTGAACAGTGAAACAAGAAGACTTGACAAACTACGAAATCTATTTTGGGGACGTTATTTCATCTAATTCAAAGCTTGTAAAACTGTAACATTTACTTTTGCCCCTAGTCTATTCTATAGATCATAGGCTTTCGTTTGATGTATGAGTCACTGACATAGCCTTTTCTGTTCCAAAGCTATTTTAATTTAGACATAACCTTTTGTACTCTATTTTCTACTGTAATCCCCCAATTTAGGACATAATTGTATTTTCCTAATTATTGTGCATTGTGGTCAGGTTAGTCATTTATTTATTCATGTATCTTCTTACAGTAATCTGAAATCAGGTACCAGATCGGAATTTGGAATAAAGCGAGTAATAAAGCGAGTCCCACACAGACATAATAGGCTCTCTACATATATAGACTTAATCGCCTTATTTCCCTACCTTGTAGTTGTATTAGATACTTTCCCCTCACTAATTCTTTTCAATTGAAGTAGACAGGCAACTCACTGGATCTATCAATACTCGGTCGCTAAACGACGCTTATAAATACCCTAAAACATCAGAAGAAACGCACATTCAACTACCTACTGCCAGTGGTTGTACAACCACAGAACCTGTCACCCATCAACTGGTTAGCATAGAACAAAACAACCTCAGCGCGAATTTAGTGTGAGTTACTTCTTGTCTATTTATCAGCTTTTTACTCATCTGTACACTATGTTGCCTTGTCATTATTATTATTTCACCACTCGTTATCTTACCTTATCTGTAACTAATATTAATCTCCACTTTTCCGCATACTATGGTAAACAAATATCCTACACTATACCCTTCCTAATGCCTATACTCTGATTCGTAACCTACAATTCACTATATAGTCAATAAAAACATTGCATCGAAGCCTTACCCACAGTCCATAATTTGTAACTGTCTGATAAGCTTGTAACATGGTACTTATAGGAAGTGTTTTCCAACAGGATGTGAAACACAGAGCATTGTGTGAGGTATGATATGTATCCAAAAAATAAGCCTAAATGAGCCTAACATCACAAAAGGAGGGAGGGTGGAGTTACTGACCAGCAAGCACTGATGGTGTGGGCGATGATTTCAATCCACCCGTGTTTGTGGGGCAGAACATTTTGTTTGTATCAGGCTCTTTATGGATGAGAACAAGTCAATAGATCTGTGATATTGAGATTGTTCACCTACACTCACCATTAAGACTCATGTTTCTGATTTTTGTGCTGGATTAACTATTCTATTAAGACAACCTTTAACATGCTAACTCGGACTTTTACATGAACACTGTGTGGCGGCATCGGATGATAAAAAAACAGACTGTAAAGGATATGGTTGTTATTTTACTCAACACTCTTCTCTCTATATGCACTCTCTGTTATTTCTCATTCCAACCTTGACTTCACTCCTTCATTGGAACCTACTCCACCTTGATAAATAACACAACTTGTTGTTCTCTATTACTGCCTTCTCTCTTCTGGAACCCCTAATCGCAGTTTACTCTTGCAACATGAGCTAGTATCAATTTAATCTAATAATTTATCATACCTCCATCTGTTCCACTAATAAATGTTAAGCATCGATTATCGCTCATATCCAAATGCCTTGCTGCTCCTCGGTTTCTCTTTTATTTTTTCTCTTCAGAATCTTGTTCTGAGGGTGAAGCTATGTAACTTCTGACATCTGTAACAAGCTTGACGAACGCGCTTTCCCAAGGTCATAGTTCGAACTAGGCGCTCCACAAGCCTACTTTGTAACAACTATAAACTTAAAAAGCTGCATTACATAAATACTTAGCACGACCGAAACCCTAATACACTTTTTATCGAGATTGGATCTGGTATGTAACGTGGACGCCATGCCCCATTGGAAACTATTTTTATGAAAACACATTATATCTGAAGAATGAACTGCTATCAACTTTTATAGATTATAATTACTAAACAAGCTTGCTTGGGATGCATACTGTGAACCGGTATATGTTGTAAATTGTAGATCATGCCTGTAAAAATGGCGTGTACCTGCTATTGCAGAAATATATTATTATTATTAATGTAGAAATCAAACCAAGTTTGGCTGAAGAATAACTGCCTGGTTGAGTAGAAACGTGCGGACCCCAATTGAAGTCAGAACAAGGTGATTGGGGAAACAACGATTCTAAATTTTATCATTAATACAAATGTATTATTTTACCTAAACAAATATTACTATTCAGTTATTCGACCAATAATTGTTCCCACAGTAATCCATCTAAATTACGATAAATAGACAAAGAAAAAATTACCTAACGCGCCATAAAGTAAGTGTTATTTTTTCCCTTTCTAGACGGATCAAGAAAAAATCCGTTCGAAAGATAACAGTTAGTTGCTCTCTAACACAAGGTGTTTCCATTCCTGGTAAAGTGCCTCAATTCACAACCGAAATGCACGATCCCAGTCAACTCAAGCAACACAGTGAAAGAGGAAACAATCCGTATGGCTGCCGCCAAGGTTGAGTATCAACTAAAACAACATAAATCAAACTCAGGTGGGAACATAGTGAACACAGTAAAGGCAAAAGAAAACTGTAACAAAATAAAATATCACCATCTCAAATGGCATCAAAACAACAACAAGAATGTACAACTAAAGAAGCCAGTACGAACAAGTCGCAGGCGTATGCATGGGGGGTTTTCACACACAAAACCTTCAAAATGGATCTTACAAGTAGTGTTCCAGTTGCCTTGTCTTCTCTCTCGTGCGTGCCTGTCAGCCAAGCAGGGATAGAATAGTTTTCGTCTCTTTAGCCTCGCTTAGAACTCACGCATACCAGCCTCAAGGTTAAGCCAGTCAGCCTATCGCGTCAAGGTCTTAATCCACATTTGACGAGTTATCCTCGGCACGAAAGTGGGTAGACAGATCAAGGACGTAACAATTCTGAAATAAAAACATTTTACACAGGTCAAGTCAGTTTACATACAAAATCAGATCGCTATAAATGCTGCAAGACTTACTGTAATAAGTCACGCAGATCGGTTGAAATGTCATAGGCACAATGAGATGATTTCGCCAACTTAAGACTGAAAAACGTTAGAAAAACGCAAATGTCCAGTGTAAATTTGGCATACTTTATTTAAGTTGCGTGGCAACGGGCGACGGACGGTCTAGAATGAGTTCAAGCAAAGTTCAGAGCTGTTTGTACCTAAAAGAAACGTGGTAGATGTATTGGCGGTCAGTGGAATACGTCGAATTTAAGACATTGTCTTTTACTTCTTGATATTTTTCTCAGATGACAAAGTTAATAG